GTGTGTGTGTGTGTGTGTGTGTGTGTGTGTGTGTGTGTGTTTGTGCGTGCGTGCGTGCGTGCGTGCGTGCGTGCGTGCGTGCGTGCGTGCGTGCGTGCGTGCGTGCGTGCGTGCGTGCGTGCGTGGGTGGGTGTGTGTGTGTGTGTGTGTGTGTGTGTGTGTGTGTGTGTGTGTGTGTGTGTGTGTGTGTGTGTGTGTGTGTGTGTGTGTGTGTGTGTGTGTGTGTGTGTGTGTGTGTGTGTGTGTGTGTGACCAGCCGAACTTGTGTCAGAAGCAGTGTGCCTGGCTCAAAAAGGCACGGACGGGCCGATTTCTCAGACCTGCAACACACCCTACGGTGGGACGCCGAGAACCGATGGAGAATCATAAATGGCCAGCCCAACGTTGGTGCTGATGCGAAGCCGAGCTTGTAGGACAAACCGAGCTGCAAGCACAAGTGAGTGACGCACACTCGCCTGGAAATGTCATGTGCAACGGAATTACTTAGTCCGCAATTGAGTGATCCCACACCCAGCCACAGAAATATACGTAGCCCCGCATAAGCAACTACAGTATTGCTGACCGCTAGCTGCAGCCATCGTTCTTTTTGTGTGCGCACTCCTTGTTTTAAGAGGTGATGACGATCACCCGCTATCCTTGCGTATTGACAGCTGTGAGGCTTTGCCGAGCTTATCGCGAGATAGAGTCCGCTAGCTTATCGTAAGAACTCATTCGATTGCAGGCTTGTGCAGCTCATCCAGTAATAACCCGAGGCTTCCTGATTGCATGCCGTATCAGTCGCTTGCTGATTACCTAAATCCTGTGCGTAATGTAGCGAGCATAGGTCTAAGTGCTCGACGCCTTCATGGCAGCCGCGAGCGCCTACAGGAGTCGAGCAGGAGGAGTGTGATCCCTAGCACTTCCCTCGCTCATTCCGCCAGCTTCCGCGTGTCCTAGTATGCTCTTGCGGTTGCTTGCTTATTACCCTGCTATCCACAATATGTTGGTTCGAGGGCCCTTGGTCATTTCAGTTACGCAATCACCAGCGGTGACAACAAAAGCATGATAATCGATAATCTTCCACATCGCACAGCCAGGGTCGACATCGAATGGGATCGGTCGGGTATCCCTCGCCGTAGCCCCGAAGACGAAGGGAGCCGCCGTCTCCCCAGCGACCAGCCTTCCAGAGCGAAAATCGGACCCTAGACCCTGAACACTAAAAAACACACCCCGAGGCGGCTACCAGGGCGGCACGCTGCATTGGAGACGAGGGCGCTTACGTGCGACATTACGCAAGAAGCTCACGCGTCGGTGAAGGGGCCCCCGTTTTTCTGCGACGCTCCTGTGGCACTGGACGAATAGGATCGGTCGGAGCTCCCTCGCCGTAGCCCCAAAGACGAAGGGAGCCGCCGTCTCTCCAGCCACTGGCCTCCCAGACAGCGAGCCCCAAACCCCACACCCTGCACACCGCGTGCACCCCAGCGACTGGCCTTCCATTACCAGCCTGGAACATATCCCTATCCCCATGCTGGGCATCTCCTCATCACGATGCCAATCTTAGGGATTCCCCTATGTTTTGAGGGCGCATCCCTAGGACTGTCATCGCTTTTTGGCGCGTCAAGCTTAGCGATAGGGAGAAGTTCGAAGCTGGTAATTCCAGGAAGCGAACAACCGAGTCCTGGACCCTGAGCACTACACTCGCCCCGAGACAGGCGCGGGCCCGCCCCGCCGAGGGCCTCCGAGGGCAGCCTCCGCACGCCGCCCAAGGGCCGACGACGGCCGCCGCGGGCCCCCGCCGCAGGCCGCAGGCCGCAGGCCGCAGGCCGCCGCCACAGGGCCGCCGCAGGTTACCAGCCTCGAACGTATCCCTATCCCCAAGGTTGACGCGCCACAAGGCGATGACAGTCCTGGGGACGCGCCCTCAAAAAAAAGGGGATCTCTAAGATCGGCATCGTGATGAGGAGGTGCCAAGCATAGGGACAGGGATATGTTCCAGGCCGCCGCCGCAGGCCGCCTGCCGCCGAGCGCCGCCGAGCGGCGGTGGGCCACAAGCCCGCGGCACGCCCGCCGCGCCGAGCCCGCCGAGGGCCGCCCCGGCGGCCCCGCCCAAGACTGAAGCCGGGACGAGGGACGCGCTCCTCGCCATCGCTCGGACGTCCATTCCCTGTGTTTTTTTTCGGTTTCGTGCGTGGTTTTTTCGCCAAATGATCAAGGATGCTCCTCGATGGTCCTTGCCGAAGGAAAAGTGCACACGTCCGAGCGATGCCAAGATTCGGGCGAGGATAGGTCGAGAACCTCCGAGATCGGGCGGCTCGGGAGGGCGTCTCGGGCGCCGCGGCCTCCTCGGAGCATCCCTGGACGCTCGGGGGGCGCTCCGGACCCTGCGCTCTGGAGCGGGTCTATCCTCGTCCTGGCCCCGTCCGACCCCGCCCACCGGCCGCGGCGCTCCCGCGGCCCCGCCCGCCAGGTACGCGGCCGGCTCCCCCTGGCCGCGCCGCGATCATCCTCTCCATCGTCATCGTCGCCCTCGTCGTCATCCTTGCATCGTCATCGTCACCCTCGTCGTCATCCTCATCGTATCCCCTCCTCTTTTTTTGTCCATTCCTCACGCCTTCCCAGCTCTCCTCCTCCTCCTCCTCCTCCTCCTCCTCCTCCTCCTCCTCCTCCTCCTTTTCCTCCTCCTCCTCCTCCTCCTCCTATGGCCGCGTCTTATCCGTGATGCTCTCCGCTTAGGCTATCCTCCCGTGCTGCTTTTTCTGGAGTTGCAGACCTGCCTGTCGCCGAGGCTGGTCTCTCAGATAGGTGCACATTCGATCGCTTTCCAGCCTACTAGGAGCGTGGTGCAGGGGCTTCGGAACGGGACTCGGTTCGCTCGGTGTGTTACCTACTTCGTGTGCCAGAAGCTTTGTACGACCCACGTTAACATGAGTCACAGGTTATGAATCGATGACCTCGACGGTTCGGCGGTCGGCTCGGAGCAGTTTGTCAGGAAGGAGTTACAGTCAAGCATTCAGGACGCTCATCTTTTTTTTCGTGGTGAGGAGCTCACCCTGGCCACCAAGAGCGACGTTCTTTGCTCTAAGCACAGCGTCGCCAAGGACGTCTCTGCACGGCTTCGGAAAATGGGCATCCAAGTACAACCAGTGCTTCAGGCTGCTTATCTAGGAGTTGATCAGGGTCTTGGGAAGCGGCTCGCTAGAGCTACTAGGAGGCAGAGGGTCGTCAAGGGGAACAACCAGAGCCACAAATTGCGGGGCTTCGCGAGGGCCACTCGGAGGTACCTGGTGACTAAGAAGGTGGAGCTGGGTGGGCCTCAGGCGGCCTCTACTTACGGGATGCAGATCTACAGAGTCTTCGGGACGCAACTTCTTACCCTTCGGAGGCGTTTGGGAGCGGTCTCAGGAGCGGCCAAAAAGGGGCGGTATTTAACCACTCTGCTGGATCTGAGGACCCCTGGCTTCGACCCTGGGATCAGACTCCCCACGTCTTGCATTCGAGAATGGCTTAGGATTTGGATCCATGACCCGCAAGTGAGGCCAGGAGTTAGGAAGGTTTGGCCCATCATCTTGGATCAGTTTAGGAAGCTCCAGCCCAACGAGTACGCCCGCCACATCCGAGGCCCAGTCTCAGCCACCATTGCGCATCTGTTGCAGGTGGGATGGGTCCCTCGGTCTGCTGACGTGTGGGAGGTTCCCAACGCGGGTGATGGCGTTTCCAGTGAGTGGCAGTTCCACGATGTTCAACTCGTGGGCATGGACCAAGCCAGAGATCTGTTGCTTGAATTCGAGGCCGACCAGGCCAGCCTCCTGTGGCGTCAGGCCGCTGAGCATTTCTGCGGCGCTGGCTTGGAAGGAGGTGCCAGCAACGGCTCTTTGAGGCAACTCATTCAGCAGCTGCAGTCCGTGTCCAAGGGACGGCAGCTCGCTGAGGTCCTCGTCAATATTGCGGTGGGGGGATCCTGGACCCAGCCTCGGCGTAAGGATTTAGGGCTCATTGCTGATGACCTTTGTCCTAGGTGTAGGAAGGCGCGTGAGGATCCCCTGCACCGATATTGGCTGTGTGAATGCAACACGGGGCATGAAATTTACACCGCATCGGAGGCACTTGTGAGTCAGGCTCTGACTCAGGGCGAGATGTCCGCGTCTTTCTGGATGCGGGGTTTGATCCCGTCGGGCTGGGTCAGTGTCGACCCCCCAGCTCAGGCCGAGAGTTGGAGTACCATTGGTCTGAATAGCTCGGAGCCTTTTGCGGGATGTCTTGGGGTCGGGAGCGAGGATAACCCTGCTCTCGTCTTCAGGGATGCGTCTGGAGGTCCCGACTCCAAGAGCGCCCTCTTCAGAAGAGTTGGCATCGGTGTTGCGAGTATGCGTAGTTTTGATCCTCCTCAGATCTCTGTGGGTTTATTTGGGCCCTTGGTTGGGCCTCATCAATCTGTTCCTCTTGGAGAGCTTGCTGGGCTTGAACTCACTATTCGGTATACCATCGGTCCTGTCGTCTATGTGTCGGACAACGAGGCGGTGGTGGAAGGATGGTGGGCAAGGAGGTATCGTGAGCCTGGGGGGGAGCTCGCCAGCATGTGGAGGAAAATTGGGAAGGTCTTGGAGGAGCAGGAACGCCCAGAGCACGAGGTCGTAGTCCTTTGGGTTCCTTCGCACTTGTCGGCGCGTGAGGCGCTTGGGAGGCAGCTTCCCATGCATGTTATCGTGGGTAATACAGTGGTTGATGAGCTGTCTGGCATTGCTGCACGCGAGTGCAGGTTACCCCAAAATCAGAGAATGAGGGTATTGGAAGTTGAGAGTAAGGCAGCGTTGATACGGAAAAGGCGAATGAGGGTCAACCTGGACGTGTTGCGTGTCACGAACAGCAAGCCTGATCAGCACTCCCCGTCGCCCAACGTCGTGCCTGCTGCTCCTTCTCCCCCTCCATCTCGCCCCTCTCCCATGCCACCACCGCCTGCACCCTCGGCTGTCGCCCTCTTTGCGTCTTCTCACAGGGTCGACCCGCAGGGACGGCGGTGCGTCAGGTGTTTCACGTGTGCGAGCAAGGCGGCCAGGACCGCCTGGCTAGGCTCCCCGTGCGCGCCGCCCATTCTTGTTCGTGGTGATTTATACAGGGCGGCCCCAGGGTCAGGAGTGCACATAGGGGGGGGGGTCACACATAGCTCTCATACCATGTTGTATAATGCGGTCAATCGTATGTGGTATTGTCGCAGATGTGTCAGATTTGGGTCTGAGCAGATTCGAGATCTTGCTAAGCCTTGTGTCGAGGTCCGCTTGACTCCCAAGCGGCGGGAATACCTCGACAGGCTGACCAGAGGTTTGAATCCCAAGGCCTAGAGTGTGTTGTGACGCTTCGCGTCTGTTCCGATTCCGATTCCGATTCCCTCCTCCCCCCCACACATTATGCCCCATCCTCGCTCCCAGACCCCCTCCCCCTCCTTATCCCATACCCCCTACCCTCTCTCAACTCCCCTCGGAGGCGCGCCCAGGGAGGAAAAGGGCAGGCCTTCTCGGGAGGCTCAGAAGGCCTCCGGCATTCTGCGAAGGCGTCTGAGCCTCCGTCGAAGACGCAGAGAGCTTCTTGACGACAGGAAGGCGTCTGAGAAGCTCCGCGCCTTCTGAGAAGGCATAACCCGTCTCACTTCCCCCATCCACCCTCCACCTCCTCTGGAGGCCTCCCATCGCGGATGCATCGCCGACACATCGGCAGCGCAACGGAGACGTCGGCGATGCATCGGCGCCGTCGGCCCCACCGATGCGATGCATCGGCGATGCGACGCGATCCACCGACCCCATCTACTCCGAGAACCTAAAATTAGCCTGGCGAAAGACCCAACCATACATCGGCGCTACGAAAGTTTTGACCCGTTTTGTGTTTTCAGCTAAACAACGCTTGGGCATCACATTGGTTATGAACACCACGACGGCCGTGAGCATCACTCCAAAGCCTGAGAGCACCACAGAACCTATGAGCAGCCGAACGCCGATAATCACCTTGACGCTAGCACCCCCGTGCCTACGATGACTGGCCAAAAGAGGAGAGGAGAGGAGCCGAGAATGTGACCACAAGCGGAACTAGTCAAAATGAGTCGTCGTCGTCGTCGTCGTCGTGGTGGTCGTGGTCGTGGTCGTGATTCTGATCGTAGTCTTGATTGAGGAAGTCCTGGGCGGAAGCGCCATTTCGAAATCGGTCCCGAAGGTTTCGAATTTTGTTTTGGGGAGGTCCTGGGCGGGAGCGCCATTTCGAGTTCGAACGGAACAAATGCCGAACCTCATGTTGCAGGAAGTCCTGTGCGGGAGCGCCATTTCGAAATCGAGGCAGAAAGGTTTCGACTTCTATGTTTGAGGAAGTCCTGTGCGGGAGCGCCATTTCGAAATCGAAGCAGAAAGGTTTCGAATTCTATGTTTGCGGCAGTCCTAGGCGGGAGCGCCATTTCGAAATCGAGCCCGAAAGTTTCGCAATCGTTCGAAATCGTTTTTCGCAAGGAAGTATCAAGCGAAACCGCCGTTTCGAAATGGCCACACCGCTTGGCATTTCAAATGTTAAAAGCCCTGACCCGACAACTCGAAAATGCAGTTTTCGCTGAGGACTTACGAGCTCGACTGGATTTCGAAACCCTCGGGCTTGATTTCGAAATGCGGCTTTCGCCTAGGACTTCCTCCCCAAAACGAGCTCGACTGGATTTCGAAACCCGCGGGCTCGATTTCGAAAGGGCGGTGCCGCCCGAGACTGGAGCGAAAAATGCTTCAACCGAACATTGCACTGGGGCCCCGCGGCCTAACGGGCCCACCGCCAACGTTGTACTGGGGCGTCGTCGCCTACCGGGAGGCGTTGAATGTTGGCCGAACTTTCGCAGCGGCGAAATATGCAGTTGTGAGTGCCGCAAGTGGCGCTCCCTATGGGACCACGAAACGCTGTCGTGTGTGGGTCAAACGCAGGGAGCAGGGGCCGTGTTGGGTGGTGGCGGACACATGCGGGCGGTACCACTGGGACCTTCCCTGGAGCCCCCTAATGGGGCCACGAAGCGCTGTACTGGGTGGGTGAAACGCAGGGAGCAAGGGCTGTGCTGGGTGGTGGCGGACGCATGCGGGCGGTGCCACTGGGACCTTCGGTGGAGCTCCCTATCCACGAAACGCTGTACTGGGTGGGTGAAAAGCAGGGAGCAAGGGCTGTGCTGGGTGGTGGCGGACGCATGTGGGCGGTGCCACTGGGACCATCCGTGGAGCGCCCTATGGGGCCACGAAACGCTGTACTGGATGGGTGAAACGCAGGGAGCAAGGGCTGTGCTGGGTGGTGGCGGACGCATGCGAGCGGTGCCACTGGGACCTTCGGTGGAGCCCCCTTAATGGGGCCACGAAACGCTGCACTGGGTGGGTGAAACGCAGGGAGCGAGGGCTGTGCTGGGTGGTGGCGGACGCATGCGGGCGGTGCCACTGGGACCTTCGGTGGAGCTCCCTATGGGGCCACGAAGCGCTGTACTGGGTGGGTGAAACGCAGGGAGCAAGGGCTGTGCTGGGTGGTGGCGGACGCATGCGGGCGGTACCACTGGGACCTTCCCTGGAGCCCCCTATGGGGCCACGAAACGCTGTACTGGGTGAGTGAAACGCAGGAGCAAGGGCTGTGCTGGGTGGTGGCAGACGCATGCGGGCGGTGCCACTGGGACCTTCGGTGGAGCCCCCTTATGGGGCCACGAAACGCTGCACTGGGTGGGTGAAACGCATGGAAGAGGGAGGAGAAGAGGAGGAGAAGCGGAGAGGAACGCGGGGACTGTCTCTTCGAAACGAAGACCCAACACTACAGGATGGTTGGGCAAAATCAACGGGGACGATGGCAAACCACACCACAGCGTAGCCACACCCGTTGTAGCCGCCGACCCCCCTCCACCCACCCTAGATGCCTTATTGATGGGGTCTGGGCAGATGGGGTCGTAGGATCGCGACGCATCGCCAATGCATCGCCGATGCCTCGGCGATTCGGCGCGACGACCCAACGACCCCATCTGGGAGGCCTGGATCCCTCCCTCCCGCAGCGCGCCGCCGCCGCCGTCGCCGTCGCCGTGACCGTCGCCTTCGTCGTCGCCTTCGCCATCGCCGTCGAAGAGGCCGTCGCCGTCGCCGTCGCCGTCGCCGTCGCCGTCGCCGTCGTCGCCGTCGTCGTCGTCGTTGTCGTCGTCATTGTCGTCGTCGTCGTCGTCGTGGTCGTCGTCGTCGTCGTCGTCGTCGTCGTCGTCGTCGTCGTCGTCGTCGTCGTCGTCGTCGTCGTCGTCGTCGTCGTTCTCGGCGGCACGGGTGCCGCGGGCGCGCCCCCGGCCGCTCGTGGGGGCCGCAGGCGGCGTCGAGGTCGGCGGCGCTGCAGGCGGAGACGGCCACCGTTGCCGCCTGCGGCTGGGCGGCGCCTCCTCGTCTGCGTCCTCCTCCTGCCCCTCCTCCTGCTCGTCCTGCTCCTCCTGCTCCTCCTGCTCCTCCTCCTCCTCCTCCTCCTCCTCTCCTCCTCCTCCTCCTCCTCCTCCTCCTCCTCCCCTTCCTCCCCCCCCTCCTCCTCCGCCTCCCCTTCCTCCCCCACTCCTCCTCCTCCATCATTCTTCCGGGAGTCTAGAGAACCCCTTCACGTCGCACCCCCGAACCGGCCCGCAGGGCGGGCCGGGGCGGTTTCGCCCAAGACGTCCTCACCAGTCACGAGCTCAAAACCTAGACCCTGCGAAATGCTTAAGAGATCATGGGTTCAGAAATTCATGGTCCCAGAACTTGACTAAAAACCCAGCATTTCCATTAAAATCTTAAGATTCACATTGAAACGTTAGAATACTCGAGACTCTGGCCGAAAACGTGGGTTCTCTTAAGCATCGCCTAAGGTGTAGAAAGAGTTTCACGGATCGAAAGCAGGTGGATTCCAAAATGGGGCTCTCACTCTAGCGCCGCGCGCATTCGTTCGAAAGATGTGCAAGAGATCCGTGATCAAAATGTGGCTATCCAAGCGACGCATCAGTAGACACAACCATTAGTTAAGTAACGTATGAGTACACACATCTATCCTCCCAGCCGAAGCGCTCGCAAAGTAACGTATTCGTAGACACAACAATTCGTTTGAATTGTCGGAGCTGCTGAGTGACAGTTTTGTGTGTTTCGTTGTCATTTGTTTTGCCCATCGCGCGGGCCTTGAGCCAAAATAGTCTGGACATAAACTGTCCTGCTGCCGAGGGAGGCATTGCTACACGCACACACACACACACACACCCGGCGGAGCTTCTGACCCGAGGCGGAATTGCTACGCACCCTTGGCGTTGCATGCGCGGAGGTGGCATTGCTACGCACCTCCGCGCCTGCAGCAAGCACTGACTCTGGCGACCTAAACAATCGCGAAATTGGTCGGCGTTTGGGCGTACCGGCCTATCCGCGTTTCAAGCCGTGAATGTATATCCGCTCGACGGTTGTCCTACGAGCGTGGCAGAAAAACAAACGTCCCATTCGAAAATGACACTAAAAACTCCAAAGACAAAAAGCGACCCAATTTGACTGAAAGACGTCGGCTTCTCTCACGGCCTCATGACCTAGCGCAAGCGACCGAAGCGTCACCAAACCATTCACCCTGCACTGCGATACCTCATGCAGGCGCCCAACACGGCAGCGAAAATGTCACGAAGCTCGGCCCTGCCGAACCTGTTCGTCCACGCCCATGCCTCCCTCCCTCGCCCCCCCCCTCCCCTCCGCCCCTTCTGCGAGAACGGCGCCCCTGCACCGCACGATGCATAGCTTGTCCGGCTCCGCGTGCCGGGAAACTGTGCACCGCACCATGCCCGGGTCGAGGATCGGCGCCGCCTCGAGAGGCGCCACCGTGGTACCGTCGGGCCGCTGAAAGAAGGAACGCCAAAGAAGGAACGAAGCCCCGTTTTGGCCCCAGAGGCGCCGCCGTGCCCGAGGAGGGCAAGGAGGAACAGCGAGGGAGGAGCCTAAGGAACGTCGAGCCCCTTCCGAACTCAAAAACTGTTCCTTATTTCAACGTCTTGACTGTACGTTGCACACATGTCTGAAGGGGAACTGTGACACACAAATAAATACACACAAATAAAAATATCCCCCATATTTTCCTATATTTTCTGGGTCCTTGTCTTCCCCCCCTACTTCCCATATTTTCCAATATTTTCTAGGAATCGCCGATTAATTGTGTCTGTGTGTTTTTTCCCCTCCTGAATGTCGTCCGCGGACCTTCCGTCCCCCACTCGCCGCCCCCCGGGGGGCGCGCAGCCGGGCGGCCTCGAGGAGCTGCGGCAGCGACATCCTCACCAGCAGCAGCGTCGCGCTGCCAGAGACCCCCTGGGCCCGGCGGTCGCGCCCTGGGGCCCCAGTCGACATGCCCGCCCTGCCCTCCTCAGCCCTCCTCCTCCTCCTCCTCCTCCTCCTCCTCCTCCTCCTCCTCCTCCTCCTCCTCCTCCTCCTCCTCTCTCCTCCTCCTCCTCCTCCTCCTCTCCTCCTCCTCCCTCCTCCTCCTCCTCCTCCACCTCGCTCCTCGCTCCTCGCTCCGCTCTCTCCTCGCTCCTCGCTCCTCGCTCCTCGCTCCTCGCTCCTCGCTCCTCGCTCCTCGCTCCTCCTCCTCCTGCCCTCCTCCTCCTCCTCCTCCTCCTCCTCCCTCCTCCTCCTCCTCCTCCTCCTCATTCTTCTCCTCCGCCTCCTCCTTCTTCTCCTCCGCCTCCTCCTCCTCCTCGCTCTCCCTCTCAGCCTGTCTCCCTGGATCGGGGCAAGCCGCGTGTAGGCATACAGGTTCGGGACGCATTGAAAAACCAGGGCTCGTGCGTGTCGCAAAACCCACGCAAAGCCGACTGGATGCTCCACGACTGGACCCGCCCGACCGTCCAGATAACAAGCCCAGGCCTCTATGTGGGGGTGACGAGAAGGAGGAGGAGGAGGAGGAGGAGGAGGAGGAGGAGGACTTTCCCCGACGTTCCCCCCAGGACGACGTCCCCAGGAGGAGGAGGAGGAGGAGGAGGAGGAGGAGGAGGGCTGAGGCCCTCTTGAGGCCCTCTTGCGGCCGACCCTGCGACGACTCTGGCAGGTCACTCTCGCCAGGAGCGACTGCCTTCCATGCTGTCTGCATCGGAGCCCCGGGCCATTCGCACCATCGGGCCCACCTTGTCCTACAGGTTGGTGACTCCAGCAGACTGGCCCCCTAACGGGGTTGAGGCGCCCCAAAAGCATATCACCTCAAGTCCTCCTCCTCCTCCTCCACCTCCTCATCCTCATCCTCTCCCTCCTCCTCCTCCTCCTCCTGCTCCTCCTCCTCCTGCACTCCACCTCCTCCTCCTACTCCTCCTCTTCCTCATCCTTCCTCACTCTCCCTATCCTTAAGTATCCCCTCCTCTCTCTCTCTATATATATTCCTCTCTCTATATTTATGAATAAATAAAAGCCTATATTTATACACATATAGCTACACACATATATACAGTTCCACGTCCACCTCCTCCTCCAGCAACTCCTCCTCCTCCTCCTCCTTCTCATTACCAACATTATCCTCATCCCTCTCCTCCTCCTCCTCCTCTTCCTCCTCCTCCTCTTCCTCCTCCTCCTCCCCATTATCCTCCTCCTCATCATCATGATCAACAACGTCGTCATCGTCATCACGATCAGAGTCAACATGATCACCAGCAGCAGCAACGTCCTCATAAACATCATCATCACCAACATCCTCATCATCATCATCATCATCGTTATCATCCTCACCATTTGTTTCATCATCATCATCAGCAGCAGCATCATCAGCAGCTTCATCATCGTCATCAGCATCAGCATCTTCGCCAACATAGTAACCATCACCACCACCACCACCACAACCACAGCCACCATCAGCATCGACAACATCAGCAGCAGCACCAGCAACAGTAGCAGTGGCCGCATCATCTGCATAATCAGCGTCATCGTGAAACTATACAACATCACTATCATCATCACAAACAGCATCAACAACATCAGCATCATCGCCATCACCATCATCATCAGCGTCAGCAGCATCATCATCAAAATCCTCATCATCAGCATCATTAGCATCAACATCTTCATCATCATCATCATCATCAGCAGCAGCAGTATCAGTATCATCAGCATCAGCATCATCATCATCATCATCATCATCATCATCATCAGCATCATCATCAGCATCAGCATCATCATCATCATCATCATCATCATCATCATCAGCATCATCATCATCATCATCATCATCATCATCATCATATTCAGCATCATCATCATCATCATCATCATCATCATCATCATCATCATCATCATCCGCACCCGCACCCACACCCGCACCCGCGTCCGTGACCGTACCCGCATCATCATCAGCATCAGCATACCAGAGGTATACGTATAATCCCCATCAGTCTCGTCATCCTCATGATCAGGTGCAGCAGAAGCACTGTCATCCACACAGTCATTCTCATGATCAGCATCACCACCATCATCTCCACCACCATCATCAGCAGCAGCATCAGCAGCATCGCCATCATCGTCATCATCATCACTGTCATCATTATCAGAACCAACATCTCCATAATCATCGGTAGTACCAGCATAAATTTCCAGCACAATCAGCATCGTCGCCGTCGTCGACATATCATCGGCATCAGCATCGTCAGAAGCAGCGGCAGCATCATCCTGATCCACGTCGTGGTCAGCATCGGCATCATCACCACCACACCACCAACTACCAGCATTGTGATGTTCATGATCATCCTCATCACCCTCGCCCCTCATCGTCCCCCTTCGGGCTCATCGTCGACATCCTCATGCTCAATACAACCGACATCGCCACCATCATTACCATCCTCATCACCACCACCACCACTACCACTATCATTACAACCATCGACGACATCGTGCTCGTCGGCGCCCCATCCGTGATCAATATCATCATCCATCACCGTCACCAATAACATCAACATCACCATCATCATCCCCACATCTACCACCCACGTCACCAGCACTTTAGTCACATTATCATCATCATCATCATCATCATCACCATCATCATCATCATCAGCATCATTGTCAGCATCATCACCACCACCACCACGACCATCATCATCAGCATCATCAGCATCATCATCATCGGCATCATCATCATCATCATCATCATCATCATCAGCATCATCATCATCATCATCATCATCATGATCATCATCATCATCATCAGCAGCATCATCATCATCATCCACGTCATCAAGGTCGGTATCATTACCACCATCGGCTGCCTCATCGTTGTTACATTATTCCTCGCCCTGCTACTTCGTCTCGTCGCCCCCCTACTCTTCGACCACCGTCTGATCACGATCATCGTCATCATCGCCAGCAGCAGCATCAGCAGCATCATCATCATCAAACCCCACATCAGTATCGTCGTCAGGTTCAGCATCATCACCATCATCACCAGCATCATTATCATCTTCACCATCATCGACAACATCAGCACCGGCATCGTCATCGTCATCGTCACCTTCACCGTCGCCATCACCATCACCATCACCAGCATCATGCCACCATCATAATACTCATCAGCATCAGCAGCGTCACCACCTCGCATCAGCATTGGTATCATCAATGGCATCATCGTCATCACCATCCGCAGCATGAACAGCAGCATTAACATCATCAGCATCATCATCAGCATCACCAACATCATCAGCATCAGCATCCTCATCAACATCGTCATGGCTGCCTACCTGGTCACAATCGCCTGCGTCGTCCGCGATCCTGGTCCATCTGCGTGTATGTCACGATGGTCACCGTAAGCACGGGAACCCAAGGTTTGTCGAATCTCGTCGCTCATCGTCCTCATCGTCTAGATGTCTGCCTGCTGGGCGAAGGTCATGCGGTCCACCAGGGCCTTGGAGTCGCAGTAGATCAGTCTCGCGGGCAGACCGCAGCGCGGTGAGTGTAATGGATGAGGTGGGAAGCGCCAGAGGAGGACGAGGAATACTAGCATGATACCCTTGCGGCAGAGCCCCGAAACAGCTTACACTGTTGCGATGGGGGCCCGACGGGGGGGCACGATAGGGGGGAGCACGGTTTAGGGGCAGAATGGGGGGGGATCGGGATGGAGATAGGGACAGTGGCATAGGGATATAGGGTAGATATCTAGGGATATGTATAGCGATAGGGATCGGGATGCATGATAGTGGCAATGATACAAGGAAGAAGGATGGAGGCCGCAAGATAAGAATAAGGATAGGGATGGGGATAGACATAGGAAGAGGAATACGGTTAGGACAGACACTGGGAGACGACGGAAGACAGTGGGAGACAATAGGAAACAGTGGGAGACAATGGGAGACGACGGGAGAAAGCGGAAATTGGGATAGGGACGATGCTAAAGAGTTGGATACGGATAAGAATGCAGATAGGGGTAGACAATGGAAGGACACGAGAGATAGTGGGAGACGATAGGAGACAGTGCGAGGCCATGGGGATAGTCACAGAAATAGGGATAAGGATAGGGGGTAGGGGTAGGGATAGGTGTACGGAGAGGGATAGGAAATGGGAGGCAAAGGGAGACAATAGGAGAGAATGAGAGACAAAGGGAGACAACGTCGCCGACCAGTTCTGGATCTGGCAGCGCCGCTGTAAAGCTTCTCAGAAGCATTAGAAGAAGAAGCAGGGCAAGGGGCAAGACGGTCCCGAACCGTCGACCGATTGGCCCAAGACGCCGACGATAGCTCCAAGACGCCCCACGACGCCTTCGAGACGGCCCAAGGGAGGCCCAAGAGCCTTCCCAAGAGGGCCCCGAGAGGCAAAAAACGTGTGGCACATGGATATTTCAGAATGTCTTGGGTTATCGCCTCCTCGAGCTGCCGACACTCCAAGACAGCCCACGAGGCCCCGTCGACCGCTCCCAAAATTGCACGAGAGTTCCCTTACGAGGGCCCAGGACGGACTAACAGGTGCCCAAGACGGCCCAAAAAGGGGCCCAAGACGGCCAAAGATCGCCCCAAGAGGGTCGCACGAGAGGCCAAGAGGGAGAGTACGAACCGAAATGCCGATTCTTCTGCCCAAGAGGCCCCCTCCTGATAGCCCTAAGAAGCCCCCAAACGGCCCGAAGAAGGCCCCCAATCAGCCCCAAGAAGTCCCCCAGAGGCTCAAAAGAGGCCCCCAAACGGCCGCCAAGGCGCTTCAAAACTGCCACCAAAAGGCTCAACCAGACCACCAAACAGTTCCCAAGACGCCGACAGCAATTCCCAGGTAGTTCCCAAAAAGTCCACGACGCCTCAACAGCAGACTCCCCACCACTTCTGGGGGTCGGCGGAATGGCGGAAGCATTTTAAATAGGGGAAAAAAGAAGTTGAGGAGTAGGACGACGACGCGAAGGAAAATATGAGAAGAGGGGACGGCAAAACAAGAGACGATGGAGGAGGCGGAAAAGGAATAGAAGCAGGGCGACGGGGGAGGGGACCCCAGCCCCCGTTCGCAAAGGAGCGCCCACCAGACCCAAAGAACGAAAAAGCAGTGGACGTCGGAGGTGCTTTGGCAAGATGCTGGAACAGTCCACCACAACACGCTTCTAGTGGCTCTGTTGCCCGCCAGGCGGCGCATTGGCCACTCGTGGTCGGTGAACGTCCTCGGGCGAACACGGGCGAGACACCACGGGCGAGAAACGAGCACCACCAGACCCAGAGGCAGACTGCAAAGAAGCCCGCGCCTCCGCGAGCGCGAGCACCGCACGATGACAGAGGAAGTGAACACGGTGTAAATATACACTGTCGTCGTCGTCGTTGTCCTCGTCGTCCTCTTCGTCCTCGTCCTCCTCGTCCTCGTTTCCCCCTCTCCTCCCGGGGAAACAAACAGTGACACAAACATAAACCATCGGAGGTCTGCGCGGACTCCTCTTGGGCCATCGCCCCCCCACATAGCGCGCTCCGCGTGCCGGGGGCGGCATGCGGAGGCGCCGCTCCCAGGTGGGCCGTCGCGGAGCCAAGGCCGGACTGCCGAGAGTTTATGTTGATGTCGACGATTCTGTTCGAGAGGAGCCAAGGACCGGGTCGGGCAAAAGGGGGGGATAGCAAAGGGGGGATTTGAGAAGCAGCTCACGTAGCTGATTTTCCCGGCGCCTCCCAGCGCCGGAGGCGGCGATGTATCGAGGAATGGGCCCCTCGGTGGGGCCGAAACCAGCTGCATGCAGCAAATTTCGTAACCCCCCCTTTCCCAATCCCCCCTTTCGTCCGGCCCGATATTCGAGACGAGCCAAATCGCCTCAAAATCGGTCCCCGGACCCCTCCCGGGGTCCAAACGCACCGATTTTTCACGCTGCGTCCAGCCGTGGCGACGAGGAGGCCCCTCGGAGGCGAAAAAGGCAAAAACGTCACCCTTGTCTCACCCTGCCCTCCTCTGAGTCCGGCCCGATATTCGAGACGAGCCAAGGACTTTCTTAGTCGCAGCGGCTTGGAGCCGAGCCGCGGTCGGAGGCAGCACAGCGGCACCGCGGGGCCTCGGCGGGCACAGCCGGCAGCGGCACGAGGCGCACAGAGGGGGCGAAGACGCCGCGGGCGGTGGAGCAGGCTCGGGCCCAGACATCCGGCTGCTCCACTGTTGCCGATGCGCGGGCCCCGGAACTCTGGACCACCTCCTCCTCCTCCTCCTCCTCCTCCTCCTCCTCCTCCTCCTCCTCCTCCTCCTCCTCCTCCCCCTCCCCCCACTTCCCCTCCTCCTCCTCCTCCCCCCGTCGACCAGGGTCGGCTCTGCGTCCCGAATCCACTTCTTTGTGGACGGAGGCAGGGGGGGGAGGCAGAGGGGGGAGGCCTGACAGCGGGGCGGCGGAGGGGGCAGGAGGGCGGAGGGCGGGGGGGGGGGCGGGCCGCGGGCACCGCTCTGCAGCGGCGGCGAGGACGACCGAGGACGGGCCCCGGCCAAAGGAGAGGCCTCCCAGATGGGGTCCGAGTAGCTGGGGTCGGAGCGCCGCATCGCCGACCTCGGCGGTGCTTCGGCGACGCCAGGGCGGAGAAACTCGGACTCCCCATCGAGCCGCATCGTCGATGCGAGACCGGTATGGGAGTTCTCTGGGACCCCACGGCTAACCCCCCGAAGGAATCCCGAGTTGGGGAGTTGTTCTTGGGTTTTCCCCCCAGGATCCCGCAGGGGGGGGGAAGCTTGGGTGGTTTTGCGGGGTTTCCCGGGCCCGACGTTTCACAACAAGATGATTCCCAGAAAGAGAAACGAAAAACAACCGAAAAACACTAGAACAACATTGTGTCTTTTCGGCGTATTTTCGGAGGGCTCCTGGGAACGATCGGGCAAACCCCTTCAAATCGCAATTCGGGCCAACCCCCCCGGGAACCCCCCAACCCTGAGTTGAGTTTTTTCGATTTCAGAAAACCACCCAGGAAATCGCCGAAAAACTCCACAAGTCGATGGTGCTTTTAAAAATGTTTCTGGTGTTTGTCTGGGGGGGAACTCTTGAAAACAAAAAAACTCAGAGGTTTTTCTGTGGTGTTTCTGGGGTTTTCCCTAGGGGGCCAATCCCCCAAACAACAAACAACTCGGGCGTTTTTTCCTTGTTCTGTGGTTTTCCAATGATTTTCCTGGCGTGGGGGAGCCCCCGAAGAACCCCCAAACTCGGGTGTTTTCGGATGTTTGTTCTGAAGGGGCACCCCCCGGAAAGAACAACAACAACAAAAAACAACTCAGTGGTTGTTCGGAGATTGTTCGGGTGTGTTCCTGGGGGAGAAAGCGCCCGAGGTGTCTTGCTCGGGCGTTCTGGGGTCCCACCATACATATATATATATATATATATATAAAAAAAAAAAAAAAAAAAAAAAAAAAAAAAAAAAAAAAAAAAAAAAAAAAAAAAAAAAAAAAAAAAAAAAAAAAAAAAAAAAAAAAAAACGGAAAACCCTTCGGAAAACCTCACAACTCGGACCCCTTGTGGGCGGCCCACAGCTGAAGATCGGGTGCTGCTAGAAGTGCCCCTGGCCCGAGGTGCCCCCAGGATTTCCAGGGAGGCCCCACCTGCCTCCAGAGAGCACCTCACGAGGCTCCACGATGGAGCGCCTCCCAGAAGGCCCCAGAGAGCCCGCCACGAGGCTCTACAATGGAGCGCCTCCACAATGGAGCGGCCTCCAGCGAGCCCCTCCAGAGAGCCCCTCCTAAACTAGAGAGCCCCAGGAGCTCCCAAATGGAGCCCCCGGGGCCTTCCGGGCCTCGTGAGGGATGCTCTGGAGGCCGTGGGGCCTCCTTATGTTGATGATGATGATGATGATGATAGTGATACTGCTGCTGCTGATGATTATGCTGATGATGTTGATGATGCTGACGCTGCTGCTGATGATGATGATGCTGATGATGATGATGATGATGCTGATGCTGCTTATGATGATGAAGATGCGGATGCTGATGATGATGATGATGGTGATGATGCTGATGCTGATGCTAATGCTGATGCTGATGATGATGGCGATAATGATAATGATGCTGATGCTGATGCTGATGCTGATGCTGATGAGGATGAGGATGAGGATGAGGATGAGGATGAGGATGATGCTGATGAGGATGAGGATGATGCTGATGAGGATGAGGATGATGAGGATGAGGATGATGCTGATGAGGATGAGGATGATGCTGATGAGGATGATGATGATGATGATGATGATGATGATGATGATGATGATGATGATGATGATGATGATGATGATGATGATGATGATGCTGATGATGATGATGATGATCGGCGCTGCTGAAACATCTGGAAATCCTGAGGGGACCTTGGGCCAGGGGCGCCTCTGGCAGCCTAAAACAGGGCTAGGATCGGGATAAATCGCTCCAGAGCGTTCCAGAGCGCTCTCGGAGCGTTCCGGAACGCTCCGGAGCGGCCGCGGCGCCCGATACATCCTGAAAGACCCGCCGATCCGCAGAGAATCCGATGTTATCCCGATCCGATGTTGTCCCGATCCTTCGCGTCGCTTTACAGCCCCCCGAAAGCCCGGGCGGGGAGGCGGTGGAGCCCGCGGGCGGGGCGGCGGGCTCCGCTCCTCTGCTGCGCCACGGGCACGCCGCGGGCCTCGCAGACCTCCCCGCGCGCGGGCGCGCGCTCGCGCAGAGTCGTCGTCGTCGCGCAGAGTCGTCGGCGTTGGCGTCGCCGTCGTCGTCGTCGTCGGCGCCGTCGTCGTCGCCATCGCAATCGCAGTCGCAGTCGCGATCGCGATCGCGATCGCAATCGCAATCGCAATCTCAATCGCAATCGCAATCGTTATCGCAATCACCGTCGTCATCGTCGGCGTCGGCGCTCGGCGTAATCGTAATCGTCGTCGTTGTCGTCGGCGTCGTCGGCGGCGTCGGCGTCGGCGTCGGCGTCGACGTCGGCGCCGTCGTCGGCACGGGGCGGTGGCAGGGGCGCGGCACGCGGCTCGTTTTGCACTGGCGCTGGGAGGCCGGTCGCCTCGGAGGGAGCTCCGTGCCCAGACCCTCTCGAGCCACGAAGATCACGACGGAAGGTGTGTCGTTAGCTTCGGCCACCCGCGACCTTCAAACAATAGCAAGAGTCCAGTACCCTCAACCAGCGGTTTCTGAGCTAATGCGGCTCCCAAGCATATTCCCGCGCCTTCCTGCTCCTAATCCGCCTGCGCCTTGGGTGTCGTCGTTGAGCTTTGCATCGTCGTCATCGTCGTTGCCTTCCTTGTCCTCGTCCTCGTCCTCCTCCTCCTCCTCCTCCTCCTCCTCCTCCTCCTCCTCCTCCTCACTCTCCTCCTCCTCCTCCGCATCAACGTCATCATCCTTCTCGCCATCGTCCTCCCCCCTTCCAGTACAACTCCTCTTCCTCCTCCTCCTTCTTCTCCTCCACCTCCTCCTCCTGCTCCTCTTCCTGCTTGTTCTCCTCCTCCTCCTCCTCCTCCTCTCCCCTCTTCCTCCTCCTCCTCCTCCTCTCCTCCCTCTCTCCTCTCGCCTCCTCCTCCCCCACCCCCACCTCCACCTCCACTTCCACCTCCACCTCCATATCCTTCTCATGTTCCTCCTCCTCCCCCTCCTTTTCCTCCTCCCCCTCCTCCTCCTCCTCCTCCCCCTCCTCCTCCTCTTCATCCTCCTCCTGTGCTTCCTCATGTCATTCCTTCTCGCCCCCCCTCGAACGAATCGTCCTCACCCTCCTGGTGCTATTCCTCCTTAGCGTCATCATCAACAGCAGCACCATCATGAACACCATCGTCATCATCATCATCATCATCATCATCATCATCATCATCATCATCATCATCATCATCAGCATCATCATCATCATCATCATCATCAGCATCAGCATCAGCCTCATGATCATCATCATCATCATCATCATCATCATCATCAATATCATCATCAACAACAACATCATCATCATCATCATCATCATCATCATCATCATCATCATCATCATCATCATCTTCATCATCTTCATCTTCATCATCATCAGCCGCATGATCATCATCCTCAGCAGCAACAGCATCATCATCAGCATCATAAGCATATCCCCCATCGATCATCCTCCTCCTCGGCTCCCTCCTCATTGATCCTCCTCATCATCCTCATCCTGCTCCTGCTCCCCCAACCCCTCCTCATACTCCTTCTCTTCCTCCTCATCCTTCTCCTCCTCATCCTCCTCCTCCTCCTCCGTCCATCCCTCTGTCCCTCCCTCCCTCCGCCCCTCCATCCCTCCATTCCTCCGTTCCCCCCTCCCTCCCTCCACCGTCCTCTTCCTACTCCTCCTCCTCCTCCTCCTCCTCCTCCTCCTCTTTTTCTTCTTCTTCTTCTTCTTCTTCTTCTTCTTCGTTTTCCTCTTCCTCCTCCTCCTCCTCCTCCTCCTCTCTTCTTCTCCTCCTCCTCCTCCTCCTCCTCCTCCTCCTCCTCCTCCTCCTCCTAACCCCACCACCTCATCCTCCTTCGCCTCCTCCTCTTCCTCCTGGGCCTCCTCCTCCTCCGCCTCATCACCGACACAATCCGCATCACCATCAACATCATCATCACCACCATCATCACCACCAGCACCATTACCTTCTGCATCAGCACCAGCATCATCATCATCATCATCATCATCATCATCATCATCATCAGCAGCAGCAGCAGCATCATCAGCATCAGCATCAGCACCCTCATCCTCATTATCATTATAATCATCCTCATCCTCATTATCCCCATCATCATCAGCATCAGCAGCATCATCATCATCATCATCATCATCATCATCATCATCATCATCATCATCATCATCATCACCATCATCATCATCATCACCATCATCATCATCATCATCATCATCCCCATCATCCCCATCATGATCATACTCCTCCGCATTCCATTCCTCCTTGTGTTTGCCCTCCTCCTGCTCCGGCTTCTCACCGCGTTCTCTCTCGTATTCCTTGTATTCATCCTTATATTCCTTGTCCTCCGCCGTTTCCTCCTTTTCCTCCTTCTACTCATCCCCCTTTTCTTCGCAGAATTCCTTCCCCTCCTCCTCCCCTCCTCCTCCTCCTCCTTCTCCTCCCCTTCCTCCTCCTCCTCCTCGACCCTCCTCTTGTCCGCTTCGTCCGTCATGAATGAGATGCCTTCGCAGTCTCGATGCCGCTTCCAGGAGGCACCATCGCCAGGGATGCCCTCAAACGGGTAATGCAAATATGCCTGCAACCTAATCCTCCGTCTCTCCTCCCCCGTGCTGTTTCCTCCTCGCTCACCGCGCTCTCGCTCGAGGCGTCCCCACGACTGCTCCAGTAAAGCTCCCCCTGAAAAACCATGGCAGTGTAGTACAAGCATCGTGCGAAGGATTGCAAAAAAAACCCTTCGGGCTTTTTTGCAATCCTTCGCTCAATGTAGTAAAAGCATCGTGCGAAGGGTTTTTGTTGCAATCCTTCGGTTTTTTTGCAATCCTTCGAAAACCACGGCACTGTAGTAAAAAGCATCGTGCTCGCGCCTCCTCGCCGGCCACCTCCGCCGCCGGGCCGGGGGGCGCCCAGACCTCTCCCGGAGCACGGGTCGACAACAGGGGTGGGATGGAATGGCTCGTTGTCGAGCCCGAGTACATCATGGGTTAAGAAATTCATAGTCTCAGAATTTGAAATCAAACCCAGAATGTCTATTCAAATGGTCGGGATTTACATTGAAACATTAAGAATAATCGAGACTCTGGCCGAAAACTTGGGTTTTCTTAAGCATCGCCTGGAGTGTACTCCTCCCTCTTCCCTTCCCTCTTCCCCCCCTCGGAGCCCAGAGTTCCGGGGGCGTCTCAGGCGACACGGCCCAGACCACCTCGAGCACATGCTTGAAGAGGCCCTGGGACACACACACACACACACATGAATAGACACAAATAACCGGATTTCCCATATATACATATATATATATATAGTTTCTGGGTTTTTGTCTTCCACACCACTTCCCATATGTTCCAATACTTTCTGGGGTATCGACGATTAATTGTGTCTGTGTTTCTTTCCCTCCTGAATGCTCTCAGAGCCCAGCGTAGCGATGCTGTCTCGGGCAACGAGCCAGGCCACCTCGCGCACACGGCTCTGGGAGCTCCAAGGTTGCGAGGACGCTGGAGGCGGCTCCCAGACCCCTCCCGGAGCACAGCTCGACAACAGGAGCCAAAGCAAATGTTAGGAGGCAACTACTGGGAGGTTCTCTTCGGAAGGACTCAGGAGGATTAAACCCGCAAGAGTGGGCCTCGGATTAACCGGGATTAAGCCTTAAGCCGGATTAAGTGGGATTAAGCTGGATTAAGCCAGATTTCGGACCAGGGCGAAAACAGAAATTGACCTCCCCGGAGTTGCATCCGAACAAATGGTTCGGTTGGGAACCCCTCCTCCCTCCTCCCACCCCACTCTCGAAGCCCACAACTGCGAGGATGCCTCCGGCGAAACGGGATGGACTGCCTCGCGCGCAGCGCCTTGGAGCCCCGAGTTGAGAGGGTGTCTCAAAATCGAAACGGGCTGGAACACCTCGCGCGCGACATCTGAAGCTTGGAAGCGCAGAGTTGCGAGGATCTCTCAGGCGGCTTCCAGACTCGACAACAGGTTCTGACCCCTCCTCCCTCCTCCCTCTCGGAGCCTAAGATTTCGAGGATGTCTCAGGCGGAACGGGCCAAACCACTTCGCGCGCAGCATCTCGCAAGCTCAGGAATGGCGACGAATTCTCCAGCAAAACGGACCAGACCACATCGCGCACATCTTCTCAGAACCTAGACTCGACAAGATCCCTCAGGCGAAACGGACTGGACCACCTCGCGCGCACATTCTGCCTGGGACAGGCCGGACAACCTCACGCGCGGCATCTTGGAGCCCTGAGTTGCGAGGATGTTTCGGGCGATACGTGCTGGACAACCTCGCGCGTGGCATCTCAGAGTTGTAAGGATGTATCGGGCAAAACGCGCTGGACCACCTCGCGCGCTGCACCTCAAACCCACAGATGCAAGAAATGTCTCAGGCGGAACGGGCTGGACCACTTCGCGTGCAGCATTTTGGAGCCCCGAATTGAGAGAGCGTTTCAAAATCGAAACGGGCTGGATCACCTCGCGCGCGGGCACAGAATTGGGAGGATCTCTCAAGCGGCGCCCAAACCCCTCCAAAAGCACACTTGACAACAAAAGTGTAATCAAATGGCTCGTTCGGGTCTTATCCCTCCTCAGTCCTCCCTCCTCCCTTTCGGAACCCAGAGTTTCGAGGATGTCTCAGGCGGAACGGGCCAAACAACCTCGCGCGCAGCATGTCGCAAGCTCAGAAATGGCGACGAGTTCTCCAGCAAAACGAGCCAAACCACCTTGCACGCACTTTCTCAGAGCCCACTTGCGAAAATGTCTCAGGCGAAACGCGCCGGACCACCTCACGCGCGGATTCTTGGAGCCCAGAATCGTGCGGATGCTTCGGGCGAAATGCGCCGGACACACCTTGCGCACAGCATGTCGGAGCCCAGAACTGCGAGGATGTCTCGGGCGAAACGCGCCAGACTGCCAGTCGCGCGGCATTTCGGAGCCCAAAATCTCGGGCGAAACGCTAAGCCCAAGCCAACTCGGAAACGGGAGTCGGGATAGTGGCTCAGGGCAAACGGCCCGGACCACAAAAATTGTTTGAGGATGTCACCGCTTTAACTTCCCTCGGACAGAGCTCGCTTCTATCACAACAGCACCTCGCTCAGCAAGCTGTTCGGGGACAGATGAACTTCGATGAACAAACTGTCCCCAGGATGAGATCGAGAGATCCGCGGGTCCACGTCCCGAAACAAGAGTCGTGACGGCGAATGTCTGGGGATGGCGGAATGCGGGGAGCAGATGGCGGATGCTGAAGCGGCAGACTTGACGGAGGCGGCCAGAGGTGCAGCAGGCGGGAGCTGGAAGCCAGGACGAGGCATGCGAGAGGCGGGGTGTGGGAGGCGGGGGGACGGATGAGACAGGCTTTTGAGTGTAGGAGGCCTCGGACTACGAACCGTATCAAACAAAACGTATCACGCACCTCGGAATCCCAAAAGGTGAAGAGATCCCAAGCGAAACGGGCCCGACCACCTCGCGAGCGGCATATCGGAGCTCAGAAGTGAGAGGATGTCTCAAACAAAACGCGCCGGACCACCTCAATCCCGAAGGATGTCTCAGGCGAAACGGGCTGGACCACCTCGCGCGCGACCTCTGGGAGCTCAGACTTGCGCTGATATCTCAGGCGGTGCTAACCACTCTCAGAGCACATCTCGGGAACAAGTGAACTGAAATGTTTCGTTTGGGTATGATTCCTCCGTCTTCCCTCCTCTCTCTCTCTCTCTCTGAACCCAGGAGTTTCGGGGATTTCTCAGGCGGAACGGGCCAGACCACCTCGCGCGCAGCATTTCAGAACCCTGAAGTGCGAGCACGTCTCAAGCGATACGGACTCGACTACCTCGCGCACATGTTATGCCCAGAAACACACCGACCAGATCACCTTTTTTTTTCACGCGGTACCTCGGAGCCCGAAGTTTTTAGGATGCCTCGGTCCTAATGGACTGGAGCACCTAGCGCGCAGCATCGCGGAGCTTCGAATTGCGAGGACGTCTCAGGCGAAACGCGCCGCACCACCTCGCGCGCGGCGTCTGGGAACCCAGAGTTGCGAGGCTGTCTCAAGCGAAACGCGTTGGACCACCTCGCGCGCGCCATCTTGGAGCCCAGAGTTGCAAGGATGTCGCACGCGAAACGGACTGGCCCACCTCGCGCGCGGCATCTCCGAGATCAGAATTGCAAGGATGTCTCAGGCGAAACGCGCCAGAGTTGCGAGGATGTCCCAGGCGAAGCAGGCTGATCCATCTCTCGCGAACCACCTCGGAGCCAAGAGTTGCAGGGATGTCTCAGGCGAAACAGACCTGACCACCTCGCGCGCGGCATCTTGGATATCAGAAGTGCGAAGATGTCCCAAGCGAAATGCGCTAAACCACCTCTCGCGCGACATCTAGGAGCTCCGCTGTTCGAAAATGTTTCAGACATAACGTCAGCCCCAGCCAACTTGGAAACGGGACTCGGCATAATGTCTCAGGGCAAACGGCCCGGACCACAAAGTTGGTTCAAGGATGTCTTTGCTTCACCTCCCCTCGGCAAGAGCTCGGCCCCATCACAACAGCATTGCTTCCAGCAAGCAGTTCGGGGAATAACGACTCAGGATGAAAAAATGGTCTTGGGAAATGGGTCGCGACCTTTGGGGGGTCGACGACGTCGACTCCACGGCCCCCTGCTGCACCGCCTCATCGCCTCGCCCTCCACAATTACTCAATATGAATATACTCTCCCTCTTCCCCTGATGGCGTCTGGGTGATGGCCGCGCACCCTCCGCGTACTGTTTTTTACATACAGGATGCCCGGGAAATCCCGGGAAACGACTCTCGCTGAGGCGCCGGCGTCATTTTTCCCCAAAATGCTGCTCTCGCGCGGGCGTCATTTTTTCCCAAAATGCTGCTCTCGTTGAGGCGCCGGCCTCATTTCTGCTCCCGAATCCTTCCCCTGATGGCGTCCGGGTGATAGCCGCGCACCCTCCGCGCACTGCTTTTTTTACACACAGGATGCCCGGGAAATCCCGGGAAACGACTCTCGCTGAGGCGCCGGCGTCATTTTTTCCCAAAATGCTGCTCTCGCGCGGGCGTCATTTTTTCCCAAAATGCTGCTCTCGTTGAGGCGCCGGCCTCATTTCTGCTCCCGAATCCTTCCCCTGATGGCGTCCGGGTGATGGCCGCGCACCCTCCGCGTACTGTTTTTTACACAGGATGCCCGGGAAATCCCGGGAAACGACTCTCGCTGAGGCGCCGGCGTCATTTTTTCCCAAAATGCTGCTCTCGTTGAGGCGCCGGCCTCATTTCTGCTCCCGAATCGTTCCGAATCGTGCTCCCGCTGCAGCGTGGGCCTCATTTTCGGATCGGTGTTTGGCCTCCGTCGTTCAGGATGGCGTTCTCGCCCCAGCGCGGGCCTTTTTCTCGCGCGCCCATCCGCCCGCCACCACCGCGCCGCACCGCCACCACCACCACCACCACCACCACCACCACCACCACCACCACCACCACCACCAGCACCAGCACCAGTACCACCCACCACCACCAGCACCACCACCACCACCAGCACACCACCACCACCATCACCACCACCACCACCACCACACCACCACCACACCACCACCACACCACCCACCACCCACCACCACCACCACCCACCCACCACCACCACCACCACCACCACCACCACCACCACCACCACCACCACCACCACCACCACCACCACGACAACCACGCACACACGCACGCACGCACGCACGTGCACCACCACCCACTACGCACGCGCGCGCGGAGCCACAGGTCCGCTGCGACACGCGTCCGCGGATAAAGAAAATCAGCGCCATGGTAAGGGATGGGAGGGAGGGGTAGGACGTCAGATATGACGCGAGCGCACCTAGCTTGTCCTCCCCCCTCTCCCATCCCCCCTCACCATCGCGCTCGAGGAGGAGTCAGGAGTCAAGAGCATCGAGGATCCGTCCGACGGGCGAACAGACCACGGCGACAGGACGACCTCGTCGCCACCCAGAGTCCCGCCCGCAGGGGGAACGTGGGAGACGACGGGACCGCCCAGGGCGCGGCCCCCGAAGGCCGCGGCCGCGCGGCTCCCAAGGGCCGCGAAGGACCTCAGATGAGGTCGACATGGACGCCCTCCGCGACGAGGCCGCCGCCGAAGACGAAGTGGGGCGTGCCGAAGCCGAACCCCACGATGCACGAGGGGGCGGGGAGACGGCTCCCGACCGCGAGCGGTCAAGGGCCCATCCGCCTCCCCGGGCCGCCTCCCCGTGCAGCCCTGGAACGCTGGCTGGCGGCGCGCGACAGCGCGCCCCGCTCCCGCGCCACGCGGGTGAGGTCCGCCACGGCCTCCATCAGGTTCACGGGGTCGCTCGGAGGACGGAGGAGGAGAGAGGAGGTGGAGGAACGAAGATGAGGAGGGAGGAGAAGGAGCGGAAGGAAGAAACGAGCGCACGACCACAACTGCAGACATGTACCCATGCCGACTTGAGCCGACTTAAAACCAGGTGAGCAAGGCCGCAGCATCCAGGTAATGTGGGGTATGTTTACATATTCACGCGAGACATATGTACAAAAGTGGCGTAATGCAAAAGAAGGCGAAGAGAGAGGGGGGGGGGATGTCGACGTTGCTCCGAACGAGCTGGCATGCAGTGGCTTCGGACGCAGCCTCATATCTCAGGGGGGCCCTCAGACCGAGGGATGGCTCGCATGCGCCCGTGCTGCGACAAATTTGAATGCGATTAGGAGGGAAGGGAGAGAAGGAAAGGTGGACAAAGAACGAGGAGAGAGGAACAGTAGCAGGAACGCGGGGGAGGAAGGGGAGCACACAGGACACTAACAAAACGACAAAAAAGTGTGCGAAGGGGCTGCGCAAAAGGCCGGCATGAGGTACAAAGTGTCGTCACCGAAGAAGCTGCGCACTATGCCGCGCCCATATGTGACTACGAGTTGGTGCATACGATGCAGATCGCTGGCACAGATGGGCAATGGCCTGGATGAAATACGAAATTCCCGTTTCGCCTACGTCGATGCTGCCGCCCTCCAATCCTTACCCAAAAACCGCCCTTATTCCCGCACTCTCGTCCTCCTCCTCCTCCTCCACTTCCTCCTCCTCCTCCTCCCTCCTCCTCCCTCCTCCGCATCCCGCTCCTGCACCCTTCTCCTCGTCCTCCTCCTGACAGCATTGGGAACCTCCAGACGATGTATCCTTGCCCCGTCATCGGAACCCTCCTCCTCCTCTCGACCACGACGACGACGACGACGACGACGGCGACGACGACGACCAGGCAGCACAGCCCGCCTGCCGCTTCAGTTCGAGGACCATGTCGGTGGAGGCGATCTTGGTCTGCATGGGGGGGCATGGCGGGTGTCCGGACGAGGGGGGAGGCTACGGCCGGCAGCAAACAGATGCCTTCCGGATGAGATCCGCGTGAACGGGGTCGGAAGATTGCACCGGGAGGATTGCGTCGCATCGCCGATGAGATGCGTGGCCAATGCATCAGCGGTGCATCGGCGACGCCGGCGATGCATCGGCGACGTCGGCGTGGAGGCAACTGGGCTCCACATCGAGCCGCATCGCGGATGCATCGGAGATGCGGCGCGATCCTCCGACCCCATCTGCTCCGAGCCCATCTGTGAAGCCTAGAGCAGTTTGGGAGGACAACAGCTATACAAATACACCTTTCCTGCTTCGCTAGAGGGTGGCAACACCATCGTCTTTCCGCGCCGCGTGAATGCATTCGCGTGGCTGCGTACGTGCAGCCCCACACACGCAGGCCCGTTCTAACTCGCACACCAAGAGTGATCCAGATTCCGCGGACCCCAACCGCCCCCGCCTCTGGCGGCGCAACCCAGCCCAGGCGATTGGTGTACACCACTGTCGTGTACGCCGACACTGGTTGCTTACGCCGTTGGCATCGTCGGCGGGAGTGGGGCCGGCTGTGGGCCGCGGAGTCGGCTGGCCATCCCCCGCAGGGGGCCTGCGCCGTCGTCGTCGGGACATCGTCACCACCGCTGCGGAGTGTACTGCCGCGGACGGCATCCTGCGATACTGAGATTTCAAGCTCGGGCGTTGGCAGAACTGGGTTTAGTGGAACCTGGTTTAGTGATGTGTAGTGGGGGACGCCCCCCCCCCGCCACGTTCCACCAACCAGAACTGCTGTCACCCGAAAAAACACAGGCTATGGCAAACCTGGTTCAGTGATGCGGGCCAATTTAGGGGCTCCGGGGCCCTACCACTAACCTTAAGTCGGGCCTGTCCCCCTACAGGGGGATTTTCGACGAAAAATGAAGAATAACCCCAAACATAAGCAACAAATAACCCAAAAATCGTCGGGGGACTACCTTTTGAGCACTGTTTTGCCATTTTGGGGTATCTTTGGAGGGTCTTTTCTGTTTTTCGTCGAAAATCCCCCTCTGTAGGGGGACACGCCCGACATAACACTGACCATGTCCCCTTACGTACCAAGGGGTCCTGGCCATGCCCGCCAGGCGGCCCTCGGGAGCGAGGCCCCGGGCCGGGGGCCGGCGCGGAAGAGAGCGGCAGCACGGAGCACACAGCGGCATCCTTGGGCGTCGTGTGGGACGCACGGGTAGGGGACCACATGCGAACCCTACCCCTACCCCTCACGACTTCTGAGGGGGAGGGTGGGGTTCACCTCGCTCGGGAGCTCCCGAACGGAGTGAACCCCACCCTTCCCCTCAGACATCTTGGGGTTTAGGGGTAGGGTTCGCATGTGGCCCCCGAACGGGGACACACGAACACCACGTGCTGTCCCTGGAGGCCGCTCTCCCTCCGGGACTTCGCCTCCGGCTCCTGTCCAGGGCGCACCTTTTCCCGTGCGAGCTCTCCGGCACCGCCTGCACCCCTACGCCCTCCGGCCGCCCGAGGCCCCGCCCGCCCGCGCCCTTTCTCCAAAATTATGAGTGCTTTGCGCGCCCCGCCTAGCTCTGAACCGGAAGAGGCCCGCTCTCGACCAGCAGACCAAAAAAAAGTTCTCCTTGGAGGCGCGCGTCCGACCCGAGCATATAGTAGACCCATCTTGTAGTACATCGTTTCTCGAGCGGTGTGGCCAGAAAGCGCCCGCCACGACGCATATACTAGAAGATTTCTCGGTTCGCGCGTCGCCCCTGGGGGGCCGACGAACACATAGTATAGATATGTTGGGGGGACGCCGATCATGGGCCGCGCTGACGCCTCGGGCCGTCGGAAATCTTTTTACATGTATTAAGAATCGGGGGGGAGTTGCCTGCCGATGGCTGACTCCAGATTTCGTAATAAAGGGAGGGGGGTCTCATTTCGGGGGGGGGGTCTCTTCCAGGCTATCTTGGAGGGCCTGGGGGGGTCTGGGGACGACGTTTTGGAGGGTTCTCCCACGGGGGGGGGTCTGAAATGGCTTGTCTTGGAGGGTCCAGACCCCCTCCCTTTTATTACGAGATCTGGAGTACCCTCTTCGCTCTGGGCAGCCCCCACGTGTGCCGCATGCCCGCGCGCACCAGGGGCTGCGCACCCCCTTCCGGGCCTGCGCAGCCGACGAGGTCGGGCGATAGCCGGGCGGGCAGGCCCGAGCAGCCGGGCTGTCGCCGGACCCCAGGAGACAATGAGCTGCTTCTGGCCGCCGGCCGCGAGGAGCAATGCCGCGTGCGAGCGGCGGCGGGATGCAACCGGTAGGGAGCCCACAAAGGACGTACGCGCCCAGCTATGTACATGAACACGGCCCCTCGATTCGCGAGACCGGCCGCGTTATACGAACATTTGTGCAATGGGTGCTCTCGAAACCAGCGTGGATTCATGTACATGTACGTCCTTCTTTCGCTCCTGAACCGGGGCGAATGGGGGCACGGGGGGCAGGCCCTCAAAAGCACAAGTCCCTCGCAAGACCCGAGGCGCGCCAAGGGCGGGCGCCGAAGGCGCCGCAGCGGGGGGGGGGGCCAGCGCCGAGCCAAGGGCTCCGCCGAAGGCCTCCGAAAGCTCGCGCGCATGTGAAGGGGCCCAAGGACACACAAATAAATACACACAAATAAAAGAATCCCCCATATTTTCCTATATTTTCTGGGTTTCTGTTTTCCCGCCCACTTCCCATATTTTCCTATATTTTCTGGAAAATCGAAAATTAATTGTGTCTGTGTCTTTTCCTCCTGAGCATGGTGCGTCCCAGAACTCCGACGTCGTGATTCTCTCACAACGTCGTCCGTGGAGGTCTGGACCCTTTCCCTGGGGCCAGCTTTTCATCCCGGGCCGTCTTTGACGGTCCCGGGGACCAGCGAGGGCCCCCCCGGAGGCCGAACACTTCCAGAACCTCCCGTCGTGTTGTTTTCGCGACGAGAGGGGCCGGGGATGTGCTGCCTAGAACTCATGCGATGGACAGCGCGGTGACCTCGCAACCCCCAACGTCCTCACTGCGCGGCCACCAGGGACGTCCTCGCAGCGGGTGGTAATGGGGGGTGACCTAGGGTGGTAATGGGGGGTGACCTAAAGGAGGGGGAGACAAGGTCCCCGAAGGCGCCCTTTAGGACGCCTGCCTGCTGGCTCCAAAAGGGGGCTCTAAAGCGCCCCTGTAGGGCCCCTGCACCCCATCTTCCGAAACCCCCACGACCAGCCGCCCGAATGATGGGATTGTCGGAGGATCGCCCTGCATCGCCAGCGATGCGTTGGCGCTGTCGGGGTGGAGAACATCGGGCTCCACATCGAGCCGTATCGCCGATGCATCGGCGATGCGGCGCGATCCTCCGAGCCCATCTACTCGGACCCCATCTGGGAGGCCAAGACAATCGCAAACGACCCACCACGCGGTATGGTCACCGCACAATTCGGGGTTGGAGGCGACCGCGAAAACGACTTGGGCCCAAGGACATTGGTCCCGAAGGAAAGCGAACTCCACTCAAAATCGGTTCCCGGACCCCTCCCAAAGAGCAAATGGTACAATTTTCATCCCGGATCTGTTTTTGACGGTCCACAGGCCCGAAAACGGAACCCAGAGGCCGCAACGGAAAAACCCGTCCCGAACCCCAAACCTCGAAGCTGACCCCCCTTTCTGCTCGCCGGAACCACTGCTGGGCCACCTCAAACCCCCAGCTGGCTCCAAGCCTCGAGAATCCCCAACGACTCACGACGCGGTGTGGTCACCGCACTCTTTGGTGGAGGCCCCCGATCTTCTCATCGGCTGGAGGGTCGCTCCCTCCCCCGGAGCGGCGGAGCCTCCAGGATGGCGTCGCCGGCGATGGACGTCACCTCGCGCCGGACCGGTCGACGGGGCGGCTCGCCGGGGCGCCCGGCCCGTGGCAAGCGAAACCCCGAAGCGCCATCTCTATATATATATACACACACAACATAAGTGTATGTATCACGGTGTCCCCTCCATCATTATCTCTCTCTCTCTCTGTCTCTCGTTCTCTCTCTCTTTTTCTCTCTTCGTCTCTCTTTGTTGTTTATCTCTCTCTCTCTCTCTCTTTCTCTGTTTTTTCTTTCTCTCTCTCTCTCTCTCTCTCTTTCTCTCCCTCTCTCCTTCTCTCTATCTATCTCTCTATATATATCTATATATATACATATATATTATATATATATATATATAATATATATATATCATATGAAATACATGTATATATATATACAAATATACATATTTGCACATATATAGAGTCATATGTGTATATATATGTATGTATTCATGATTTATTGTTGTTTTTGTTTCTCTCTCTCTCTCTCTCTGTCTCTCTCTCTCTCTCTCTCTTTTCTCGCTTGGGATCCCAAAAACCAAAGGCCGCCAATGCCTGTTTTGCTGTTTCGGCACATTTGCGGGGAGAAGAGACAGGGAAGCTAACGGGGCGAAAAGCAGATGCGATTGAGTGCACCGAGAGGACGAGAGGGCGAGTTAAACTCACTAGCACACGCCAGCTATTCTCGTCCAACACACACTGGGCCGTCGGATCGCAAAATGCAAGCTCCCAGCGCGTCATGAAATCTGTCAGTTGCCGAGCTGCCCCCCCACCCCCCGCCCCCAAGGAGCCGCAACGATTTCGAATTCTTATAACATGTCAAACACGTCGCTTTCCTCGAGCTGGGCGGCGGGGAAGCGCCAGGGAACGCCCGCGCCCCATCGAACGGCCGCGCGCCGCCTGACCCCGCCATTGAATCACACCACGTGCGCCGCGGTGGCGCGACCAACGCGGCCCCCAAACCACGCCGCCACGTGACCGCTATGGAAATCATTACCGCGATGACGTTTCGTTTCGCGGTCGTTGGGCATAGCGTCCGCGCGAACCTCGAAGCACGCAGCCGTCGAAGTGCAGACGGAATCGGCGCGCGCGCAGCCGTCGACGCGCCGGGCGACGCCCTGGCCGCGCGGCCGATAGCTTGCGCGGGGGGAACACACACCCCCAAGCAGATTTACGATGGAACGCGCCGGCGCGGGACTGACGGACCACGAGAAGGGGCCGCTTCGAGGACCCCACATGAAGAAGAAACGCTGGAGCGCAAGCGCTGCATGGGGAATTGGCGGGGCGCCGGAGGCATTTGGATCTCACGCCCGCGCAAGTCGAGCAAACTCCGCTTCTGGGGAGCGACGCTCGTGGAGCCCACCGCGGGCGCGGAGGCCGCTGGCGCAGACTGCGCCGCAACCGCGGCGAGGGCCCGCTGCTCTCCTTCGGGGGCCGCGGCGCGCGGACGCGCTGGTGGCGGAGAAGAGCGGCCCGGCGGCAAACGTCGGCTTCGAAGCCTCGGCGGCCGCGGGCGTGGCGAAGCAATCGCGAACACGCTGCGCGACGCAGCGCAGCCCGCCGAGAGGGCGTCCTCTCCAACCGAACGGGGGTCCCCGGGGGAGCCCCTGGCCCCCTCCCCGACTCCCCGCCGCCTTTCCGCGGCGCATTCCCCCCCCCTTCGGCCACGATTTTGAATTTTTGTTGGGCTCCGGTTCTGCCTACTTTCTTGGCCTCCCTTCCGCGGAAACATATTTTTCTGGCACCGCGATTTTTCTCTCACATGAACCAATACGGAAAAAATCGTGTTCAAAATCGCAGGTGGTTTCGCGTGGTCTTACAAGGGGGCGCGGAACCGTGGCCGAAAACCGCGGGCAAAATCGTGTCCGAAATGGTGGGCTAAATCGCGTCCGAAATCGCGGGCGAAATTGTGGCCGAAATCGTGGGCGAAATCGTGGGCGCAAAATCGCGGGCCTGCCCGGCGCGCCGGCATGCCAACGTGCCCGCGCAACATCACTGACGGTAAGGAAAAAGGAAGAGGAGGGAGCGGCAGCAGCAGCAGCAGCAGGGACAGCAGCAGCAGCGGGAAGAGGAAAAAAGAAAGGAAGCAGCAGCGGGAGAGGAGGACAGAAGGAGTCGTCGAAATTGGCCCGCCCGTTCGTCGCGCGCCTCATAGCACACTGGACGTGCTTCTCGGGGGGAGCTCGCGGGCCCAACGGGCCAGCGGCGTGCGAAAATCTCCGGCGACTGCCTCACGATATTTCTACTTCGCGCGCGCGCGGGTTGCCCCTCGGGGCCCCCGGACGCAAAGTGCCCTGGCCAGGTCGGGCCAGACCTCCTCGGCGCGGCTTCGAGGCGCACCAAGGCGATCCAAAGGGCCCCAAAAGGCGCCCAAGACGGTCCAAGAGGGCTCCGAGTTGTCAAACGATCGGCCCGCGACACCCACGAGGGCTTCCAGACGGCCCACGACGCGCACAAGACCCCCGAAGAGGCCACCGCGAGCTGAAACGATACCCGAAAACGCGGTTCTGAACTTAAGAGAAAAAGGGTAGCATAGAGACGAGGCGGAAACAGACCAGGGGCGACACCGCTCAAATGAAGCGTCGAGCCGAGATTGCGCACAAGCCGCACAACGAGCGCCCAACATCGGAACGGGTCGGCGACACAATAACGTCTGAACAAAAAAAACAAAAAAGCTTGGATATACAATACATGTTGTCTCGGAAAACACACACACACACACACACACAAAATCGTTGCACCAATCCACTTGGCGAACGCAGCTTCATGATGTCTGAAACCACGGGCCAAAGTGAGGAAAAGCAACAGACATTGCTAACATCCTCCCGTAGTGCTCTCTGCGATTTGCAATCAGAGGAGGTGGGGGGGACATTTCATCAGCAGCAAGACCAAAACACGCTGATGGAATCAACCGACTGGCGCCGCTTTCGCTCGCCAACCGGCCGTAGTGGGCCCAAGATGGTACAGTAACAAACCGCGCGGTGACCTCGGGATCCCCACGGCCTCACCGCAGGGTACGTCACCGCACGGTCTCGGGGCCACGTAGGCCCTGGTCGCCCGAGACGTCCTCGGAGAACAATCCGAGCCTGTCCTAGCTTTGGTGTCGTGGGCTGGCGGCGCAACGAAGGGGCGCAGCATAAGATGCGCCGCTTTTTGCAACACAAGCACCCGAGGTGCGGCAATGAGAACCACATGGTCGCCCAGTGGCCCCTCTCGGAGCAGGTTGACTTAAGAAGCTCGCCAAGCCCCCGAACCCCTGCATGCGCAGGGCTGTTCGCCGTTGTCTGGCAATCCCGCCAGAACCCAGTCTAGGTGGAGGAAAAAACATAACCGCGCGATGCACCCGAGTCCCCTCTGACTCACCACGAGGGGTGTGGTCACCGCACCGCTTGGGGGCCCAGACTCTCTCTTTTTCTATCTCTCTCTCTCTCTCTCTCTCTCTCTGTATATATGAATATACATACCTAGAAATAATGTATCGGCGGCGCGCCCAGAGGGAAGGTAGAGGGGGCCGACCTCCTCGAAGGCGGAGGGGGGCTTCTGAGGCCCCCGCACGCCTCTTGAGAAGCCTTCTCTTACCTTTCTCCGCAAAATCACGGAACCCTGAAAAAGTCGGCCCGCTATGCCTTTTTTCCCTGGGCGCGACGTCAACTCCGTACTTCTCTCTCTCTCTCTCTCTTTCTCTGTCTCGCTCTCTCCAAGCGCGGCCCGAACTAGAGGAGGGTCTAGCGCGGATCCAAGAGATCAGTATGGACCTCCGAAAGCTTATGCTCATGCCGTTTCTCTGATTCGACTCTCTCTCTCTCTCTCTCTCGCCTCCACAGCCCGAAACTTGCCGCGACACGAGGGTGGGGAACGGAAGCTCGCCGCGGCCCGGTGATTGGTGCCTGCACGCGCAATGGGGAGATCCAGCGAGATGATGCGGGGGGGGGAATATTCGCGCGGCGCAGAGCTGGTTCTCCAGCGCCCAACGGAGCCCAAACATTACAGCTACGCCCCTACTAACAGAGAAGCGAAAGCCGCAACGAGCCACCAACAGGGAACCGAACATTCAAATGCTCTTCGAATCCTGTGCCCTTTGGCCCTTCAACATGGGCCAAGAAAGGTCGATGTTACTGGTGAGTGCCAGCCCGAATGTCCGGGGCATTGGAGTCGCCGAGGCGGAGGAGCGAAGAGAGGGAGAGAGAGAGAGTTGGCGAACACACGTGAACACCATCTCCGCAGGTTAGAACTCTGAAAAACCAGCGGGATGTCAGAATCCGAAAGATCCCTGCAGCCAAGTGAACCCTGGCGGGGTCGCGTCCGAGACCACATCGCGTCGACTGGACCCGTAGAAACGATAGGGTTCGCAAGGTGTCGCGGAGAAGCGGCGAGCCCAAAGCCCCGACGTCGCGAATTCTTCGCAATGTGGACCCCCAAAGATCTGGACCAAAGATCAACCTGAACCGTGTGTTTCGTTTTCACATTGACTTCGTTATCCTTCGTTTGTCGTCAATCCTCCCGTGCTGCAAATCGAAAGGGAAAAGGGCCTACGAAATCGCGAAAACTCCGTTTGGGCCGACCCCTGATCTTGACGCCTTCCCCGAAACTTTTTGGTTCCTCCGCGAACCAGTGGGCAGGACCGAGGGGGCACTGTCGCCAACACCGCGCACGGGCGTGCACTGAGTGTGGTGGCTTTACCTGCATGCCAGCTTCAGCGCACACGCCTGAAACAAACGCTCACACGACGCGGAACTGCCAAACAAGACTGTCTCACAAACCGTCGGCTCGCCTCGCGTACGTTCACACGACGCGGAACTGTCGAGTCGTTTTGTTCGACTGACTACCTACCAGACCACCCCAACCCAACCCGAAGACCCGAATTTGACCCGAATTTCGGGTTGGGGGGGGGTACGGATCCCATGTGTTTTTTCAGCGTTCCCCGACCCCCCCCCCCACTGGAAATCGAGGCTAAATTGGGGCCCTCGAGTTGGGCTGGGGTGGTTTTTGGTGGGCGGTGATCGACGGTCCCAGGGC